TTTATTAAACATACTCCCCCTTCACTCAAATATAAATTACAAAGATATCCATATATCCAGTTTCCTTTTTTTTTTTTTTTTTTTTTTTGCTTTTTTTTCCCGAGACAAAAACCCAAACCCAAACTAAGGAAGAAAAAAATAACTAAAGAAAAATTCAATCTCCAAAACTACCCGCTGATCGCAAAAAAAAATAATCATCTGTGCGTTGGACTGTGACGTCGATCAATTTGGGTATCTGAAATCTGAAATCTGTAATTTGGCTGAACTCGATCTTTTTGGCCTGTGAATATGCGCCATTTACACCTCGCTGTAAAAACTGTAAAACTCAAAAATCCGCAAACAGTTGTTGCCCAACTCTAATTCTCTCTCCATCGAGCACCACATGAAGTACACTGGAGCTGTCAGAAAAAAAACGGGTACCTCACTGGGATGTAAGGAGTGACAAACCTTCAAGAATGTGGTCATGGGTTCATCTGCACTACGAATCTGCAGCTGGAAGAAGTATGCACGTTCCCCATTGCAGGCTTCTGCGGGGCATTGAGCTGCACGATCCTGTCAGCACCACGCTGTCGCCAAAAAAAAAAAAAAAAGATGATGATGATAAGGCACTCGGGATACTCACTGGCAACGCTATCGGCATTGGCAAATTCCTCGGCACCACCAAAGATATCATCGACCTCCTTCTGTTTCAAGTTGGTGCTTTCGAACCATTCTCTGTCTAGCGGCGCTTCGTAGGGGCAGGTGCGGCACTCAAAACGATTGACTCCCATGGGAAATCTCGTGCTAGCATCTGCTTTGGAAATGGTGAGCGCATTGCTGCAGTTGGGGCAAACTAGAGAAGCAAGGTCAGCGACTGCTCGGAGCTGAGATAAGGCTGGGTGGTGCTCGAAAATGCCAGCTTAATAGATCAAGACATACAGATCAGCATTGCGGTGGCCTTGGTTAGAGTGTTGTAGCAGTCAAGCTCGGGTTGGAACCAAGAGAGCCCTCTGTCAGGTTGGAAAATTGCGAGGCCTGTAGTGAACGTAGTCCTTATCCGGCGCAAACATCGCTGTCGATAATCCATGACTCTAGGCGCGCGGCTAACAGATACCGGACATTTGATATTCCGAGCGGGCCGCGTGTGGGATGGCCGTGGAGTGGCCCAGCGATAACCGTACCTAGTATTGATCAGGGATTCAGATAACACCGTTGCGTTTCTCTTGAACAAGCTACTCTGTACATACCATCTTCACCAAACCGACAGATTCGGTTCGCCGGGATCACCATACAAAGTACTTGCCTGCTACGACTAGCGCCGTCCCCGCAGCAACACCAACCACTGCACCCTGACCTTCGGTACGCCGGGCCGAACACTGATAAACAAGAATGGCCGATGATGAGGTATGCACTACCCAGGCGCTTGTATTGGCCAACGCTCACTCATACAGGGCGCGTCTCCCCGCGAGCTGGTTGTGGAAGCCTGCCGACGGGACCAGTCCCACCTAATTGAGCAAGTTCTGGGCGACATGGAAGAAAAAACGAATGAGCAGGTGGCACAATTCTTCAATGAGGTCACTGATTCCATGGGAAACTATGCTTTGCACATTTGTGCTCAATACGGCAGCTGTAAGTGAACAAACCGGCACATTGGAGCCAGTCTTTGAAACCATGTGTTGACTGTCTTTTTTCAGATGAGACTATGGATACGCTTTTCGACATCCAGTACTTCGAATGCGACCCTCTGACTAGATTGGACAAAGATACGCCATTACACACTGCAGTGCGGTATGCCAATGAGAAAGACCCTGAACTGGGTGCACACATGATCAGTATGATGTGTGAGGCTGGCTGTGACCCTAGAGTGCGGAATAAGCATGGTCAAAAGCCGGCAGATCTGGTCTACAACAACAACGAGATTAAGAAGACTCTTCAGCAGAATGAGTATATCATGGCCGAGGGTATTCAAAACACTGGAGACGTGGAGTCTGATGGCGAGCCCAGTGACAGTGACTAAACTTCGTGTTTTGATGTCAATATGTTCTACTACAATTGTGTTTTTCATTTGGCTAGAACCTGGAGTCGAGAAGTTTGAGTTGTGCTTCCTGGTCCTATGCTTTAGACCAAACATGTCTTCTATCTCTATTTTACGATTGTTACGATTTGATCCCGGCCCTTCCGCTGTGATCATGGATTACATAGCCTCAGTCGCAGTATTTTGCCCAACAGTTAAATCCCACGCTTAACATAGGCCCAGAGAGATGAGTACTGACAAGGTGCCGGTCATCCAAAGCATTTGATAAACAGCAAAATGTTGATTGTCTATTTTCAAGGGGATATCACAATAAACTCAAGCTACTTGGTCGCCTTGACGAGCTTCTGCACCTGATCAAGCCATTTGCGAGAGAACTCTTCTTCGGTAAACCGCAAAGCTGAGCGACGTGCCCGCAGCCGCATGGCGACCTTCTCTTCCTCAGGCAAGGCGAGTGCCGCCTCAAAAGAAGCAGCGAATTGCTCCTCGGTCTCAGCTCGGAAACCAGTCGCTCCGTCCCCAAGATCGATAACAATGTCTTCGCGTGGACCACCAGAGTCATGGGTCACGCAGATGAGACCAGCTGCCTGGTATTCAACGACACAGATGCCAAAGTGCTCATTCCACATGCCGTTGACGCCGACAGAAGCGGTAGCGAGGTGAGATAGCATGGCAGGCCAGCTGGCATCACACACGAATGTAGTTTGATCGCGGATGCGGAGTTCGTGGGCCAAAAGACGCAGGTTGTAGATATGTGTTTCGTCGGGGCTAGCGTGACGGACGGATCCGATGAGGACGAGGCGTGGTTGCGGTTGGCCTGCGTAGGCTGGGTTGCTAGATCTCTCTTGCAAGAAGCGCGCGAATGACCGCAAAACCAGTGGGTGGTTCTTTTCAGGTCGGAATTGGGCAATGTAAAGCAATACGGGCTCACGAGACTTTTCGCTCTCCTCGTCAACTGTGATGGTGGATTCCAACTCTGAGACTGCTGTTGGGGGAAACACTACTGCCGGCGATGAGGCAGTTCCGCCACCAGTGCTAGAACTAGTTTTGTTCCCGGTTCCCCAGAGTGTGCGGATATGCGCGGCTGTCCAGGAGGAGTTGCACATTACCACGTCAACTTGCCGACCAACCCATCCATAGATCTTGGCAAACATCTCCCAGTAATGGCGTTTGATCGTTCCTTTGAGCCCTTTACCAGCACCGGAGTTGATACCTTGGACTCCACTTTCGTCGTCAAGAGAAGCCAGCATGTCGGTCGAAATAGTAGGATAATGAACGTAGGCTCCGACTGGTACTGTGGGGAACAGCCATTTGCAGAATGCAAGTGTGAATGCGTAGCCCATAGTGTCAACAAAAACATCGGGGACAAGGAGCGTGAAGGCATCATAGGCCACGACCAGCGAGCCTAGTGACTGTCCGAGCAAAGTCATGTAGGGATATGAGCTACTGACAACATACTTGCGGGTCGTGAGATACAGTAGTACCACAGTCGGGGCGTGTAGTTGGATGTTGAACCGATGTTCCACTCGCTCCAGCATAGCGGCCTTGTTGACTTCGTGATCGCCCGTATAAATGGCGCAGATTGCCTTCGGCCAGCGTCTTTGGGTTGCGCGAACTGCTTCCCACAAGACTCGTTCACCACCGCCACCGGCGTTGCTAAGATTCAGGTCAGCACTGTATGCAATACATGTGAAGTGAACACATACCAGAATGGGTGGAAGAAACCAATTATACCATCCCAATTATCTGAGCTATGGGTGTTGTCCCCGGCATTACTGCTGTTCTCGCTGCTCGTTGCGGTCTGAACCCCGCTTGGACCAGAGCTGTCCACCTTCTCCCAGTCCTCATCTTCAGCACCGTTCCGCGATGGTGAAGTCGTTGAAGCCTTTGGTGACGAAGCGCGTAATTCTTCTTCCTCTGATCGCGCCCGCGCGATCACGTATTCGCGGCGAGACCGGGTTCGTCGCCAGATCAACCAGCCCACTCCCCGAAAGATCAACCCGAGGAGAGAGCCTGTTAGCTTTGGAAGCAGGACAGCCGTGGCGGTCAAGACCAAAACGGCCAGAATGGCTTTTGATAAGAAGGCCATAGTGAAAAGGCAAATTTCAAAGAAACGTCATCAGATAAGCATAGTAGAATCTATAACAAAGCCGATTTCACTCTTAGAAGTGCCGCTGTCAACAAGACGATCAGGCCAATGCGTAATTTACATACGCGTCACATGATTTTCTCCAGGTTCCGATCTCCGTTCCGGAGCTCTCAAGAACACCTCGTTTTCTTTTTCTCTCCGTACGCATTGGCGATTATGTATTCCCCACGCTTAGCTGCGGCTTTGCGCTCGACGCCGCGAGCCTTCCGATTGCCCCGTTCACAAGCTCGACACTTTCACCCGACACGACCAACACAATCCGTGATCGACACCGTACTCAGCGGGTCGACGGCGGTCATTCATGGCGTCCATACAGCTTCCTTCCTGCCCTGGGCTGCCTCGATCCCCCTTACGGCTGTGTTTGTTCGTTGCTTCATCGGATTTCCCCTGCAATTCTACTCTCGAGTTCGCGCCCAAGAGGAAAAACTACTACAACCACTGTTATCGTCTTGGTCCGTGGTTTACAACGAGATGGCAGCCAGGGCCCCAATGAGCAATGAGAAAAGAAAGAAATGGGTCACTAGTAATCTACAGAGACGAACAAAAGCCCTCTATGACGGCTGGGGTATCTCAAAATTATGGCGTCCAATGATGTTCCTTCAGATACCAGTCTTCCTCGCATTCATGGAGGGTTTGCGAGGAATGAGCGGCAACAGCCAGGGCATTGCCTCATGGTTGGTCTCATTAGGAGGTTCCTCGGACCCTGATTCAGCCGTTCAAGCTTTGAGCTCGAGACTAGAGCCTAGTTTTGCCACTGAAGGCGCACTGTGGTTCCCTGATTTACTGGCTGGCGATCCGACAGGCGCGCTGCCAGCTCTTTTGACTATTTCTATCCTGAGCAACATGATGACTGGATGGAAAGTCAAGTCATTCAAGGAGATTTCGGATCTTCCAAAAATTCAAATGTACAAGGAGATTACCTTCCGTGGCCTGCGAATCTTTGTCCAACTATTTGCATGCCAGGTTGGCATCATGAGCTTTGTCAACGAGCTGCCAACTGCGCTGTTACTTTACTGGATCACTAGCACCAATCTCGCTACTCTGCAAACCTGGATTCTGGATAAGAAGGTGTTTGCCCAGACAAAGCTTAAGCCCTTCCAGAGACGGTTTATCGCATTCGAGAAGCCGGGCAACGACGATCCCTTCCAGCTGAAAAACCTGCGCTGATTCAATTCGCCGATACATCGCAAGGAAATAGCCCCGTTTTCCTGGGCTCCTCCCTTCGCTTTTCACTTGATAGTGGCTCCGGTGCCATGTTCACCATGAACAACCTTTCGCCATCCTCTCGCTGGCTGTGCAAATGTGTCAAAGGGAGGTGAAAACTTATAGCCGTTGGCGCGGGTTTGGCCCTGGCTCATGTGGTCTGGTCTCTTATCAACTCCAAACCTGATCCGCTGGTCCGGGCTAGGCCGACTGGCACCGAGGGGCCGTCTGGCTCTAAAACTCTCGAGCTCCCCAACATTGACCATTATGCAAGACTCACGAGGTCGATATCTGGTCGATGTTCAATCCACCGACTGGTTCGGTGTTGATGTACAATGTTCTCCATGTATAATATCTTCTACATCTATCATTGGTTGCAAAATTTTGCAGTACAGCAAGGACTCAGATGATACGATAATTAAGACTTGCAAAATTAGATTAGATCAAGTCGATTTTCGCAGTAAAAATACTAAAACCACGCCGAACCCAACCTGAATGGTGCCATATCAAACCCCCACTATTCTTCAAGATGCTTGGAAAGAAATGTGATAAATGTAGATACGAAAAAGGACTAAAGCTTCGACTTAACGGGCTGATCAGGGGCACTGGCTTCCTTGTTGATATCCACAGTGCGCGAGTCGGGACCCTGGCCGAAGAAGATAACCTCGACGGTAACATCGTCACTAGACCGAGAGTTAGCAAAATGCGCAGTGATAAAAAGCAGGTGAATATATACCGGTATCGGCGGGAGTAAGGACTTAGCAATGTCAACAGTGCACAAACCATGTCCTTATCCTTTCCACCCATGGCGTTTCGCACGAGGTGCGTCGCAGCATTCTTGTCCTCAACAACAAATCGGCTAGCCGCGCCAGCAATGTCATACTGCTGCTGACGGATAGGACGTCGTTGGCCTTCGGTCGATCCATCAGTCGCGGTCTCTACAGGCAGTGACTTTTGACTACTGAACCAGCTCTGCAGCCAGGCTTTGCTAGAACTACCGCTTGCCGCGGCAGACTGCTGTTGCTCGACCCACTGGCCAACTAAGCCAACAACTTCTTCGTTGCTCAACATCTCCCACAAACCGTCGGTTGCCATGACAATGAAGTCGCCCTTCGAGGGATCCACCTTGGTGGTGGTGATGATGGGCTCTGCAGTAACGTATGGAGGTGTCTTCAACATGGGGTGAGGGGTACGGCCGAAGAATTTGGCCTTGATAGTGTCTTGAACATCTCGGCTCCATTTGTAGAAAGCATCACCAAAGGCACGACTGGGTTCAAGTTGACCGAGAATCCGGCCATTCTTAGTCACGTAAGGCTCCCCGGGATGCTCTTCGCGCAGGCGCTTAATCTCTGATGGTGTGCCACCGGTTTGGTCCTCGGAAAGGGCCTTGGCGGTCCATTTCCCACTGGGACCACGACGTCCCAGAACTGCACGGGAATCTCCCGTTACCGCGACCTTGAGATCCTTAGACTGTGCATCGTAGAAGCTGAGGAGGGCACATGATCCAGAGAGGGCAGGGGCGAGAAGTTCGGCGGCAACGCGCCGTTCTTTAGACTTGAGAACTTCCTTCACGCTCTCGTGCACGATGTCGTTGTCGAGACGGACAAAGCCCTGCTTGATAGCAGCATCAATGGCTTCAGAAGTGGGTACGACAAGTGAGGGGTCAGTAGAAGCGCTCTTGTATGTAGTGTTGAGCTCACGCGCGACATATGAGATGAGCACGTTTCGCAGTTTTGCGGAGGTTGTCCAGCCCCTGGTTGATGTTAGTATTAGCGACAACCTGCTCCATCCGTCAAATCACTTACGAGTGGCCGTCAAATACAGCCCAAAACATCCAGTCACTACTTGGTTCGCCATTGCTGACCGCAGCCACGGATGCCGGGATCTCAACAATCTTCTCCGCGTGATCATCCTCAATAGGAGAGTTACTTGCAACTTGAACCACATCATAGCGAACAACGCCCTGGCCCCGGTTCACCAAGTAAGACTCCTCATTCTTACGCAGCTTCTGTGTTGCTTGTTCGGGTGTCAACATCTCTAGAACTTGGCGATCTGAGTCGTCTGTATGTTTGGCGAGAGGCTGGTCTCCGGAAAGCGTTGCTGTGTAAAATTGGTCTCCGCTGACCAGCAATGCACGGCGCGTGGACTCTATGGGGTCTTCGGCGTACGCGGAATTAAGGGCGCTGGAAGCAAACCCCCGGATTTGCGTAGCGGCTAATTTCAGGGTATCACCCTGATGAGCATACCAAGCCCCGGAGGCAACGACGGTTGAGATAACGGCGAGGGAAAGTTTTCGGCGATACATGGACGAGTTGGCGGCCACTGGAGCGTAGGACGAGCGTTTCCCGCTGGAGTGTGATCGAAGGCCGCGCAGCTGGTTAAAGGACAGTGGACAGGGCCGCTTAGCGGCAATGTTCCATACTGGAGCACGCCGAGCAGTACGGCACGCCTGGACAGTCGCCTGACGCATTGGTTCAGGGATTCAGAAAAAGCAATGTGTTTCCTTGTCCCTTGCAATGTAAATCACAACTGATAATCGAGGAAGAAACACAGAGCTCCCAGGTTGTCGAGAAGCTGGTCGGCCTACTCCTAGGGTCACGTGTGATCGTTATCAGATACGACGCTAGTAAAGGGCGCTAGTATAGATCTGGATGTGTCGTCATTCCCCGCGGGTTTGCTTCGGTGCCTTTTTTTTTTCTGATCCTTTCTTGTACGCCCCTTACCGCAAAGCACGGTTTGATCCCAGCAGTGAGAATGTCTTCACGGGCCATTCGGAAGCTACAAAGGCTCCGGGAGCAAGAGCAGCAGGGTTCAGATTCAAGAGATGAGTCAAGTGAAGATGAAGCCCCGCGCCCCGCGAACCCAAAGTTCAACGCCTTTGATTTGCTGAACGCTGGAGATGACGGGGACAATGATGATCAAGAGGAGGAAGAAGAGGATGATACTGAGCAGCCACAGGAGGAACCTACCGTCCAGCCATCCAAGCCCGAACCCGCACCCAAGTCCAAGAGTTCGAGGAAGAAGAAGAAGAATAAGAAGGCTTCCAAAGCCTCTGTGCCAGCCAGCCGTACACCAGAAAAGTCCAATGGAGGACTCGATGAGATTGATAAGGCCTTGAACGCGCTTTCAGTGAATAAGCACAATCCCTTTGGCCCCCGTCAACCAACTGCTTCCAGCACCCCACCGGAGGAAACTTTCCCGATGACGACGAACGAAGTGCTTGGTATCGAATCCAAGTATCTCAATGCGACAAATGAAATGCGCCGGCTCTTTGGAAATGTTGTTCTCGAAAACTTCGATCAGCCAGCCGACGCTGGAGCGGGCCGTCGTCGGGATCGCAATCGACAGATGATCGACCTTGCTCAGGCTTTGACAGGAAAATACAGTCCAGCCAGTCGGGGCTTGAGCTTGGCTGGAGTCACACAGCGGAAGAACTTCCTTATGCAAGGCAAGGACGATTGGCCACGTGCTCCCAGTGGAGGGCTAAGCATGGAATTTCTACAGAAATTCCGCACCGGTGAAACTCTGTTCAAACTCATCCACAATACCGCCTACGAAGATGTACAAAGGCAATTCGATCTCTGTGTCGAATCCATGGATCCTCAAAGGATGATCGGTCATCTTCAATACAATCCCTACCACATCTCCACACTCCTCCAGGTTTCCGAGATCGCCAAACATCAAGGTGATCACGCTGTTTCTGCCGACCTTATGGAACGAGCCCTTTTCAACATTGGGCGTTCAGTCCACTCCTCGTTTGCCGACTGTCTCAAGTATGGTGAAGCCAGAATAGACTTCATTCATGACGAGAACCGAGAATTCTTCCTCGTTGGATGGAGATACATTTCCAACCTAGGCATGAAGGGAACTTGGAGAACTGCATATGAGTGGTCTAAGCTGTTGCTTAGCGTGAATGATACTGATCCCTATTGCATGAAACTGCTCATTGATCATCTTGCTCTTCGGGGCAGAGAGTACGCGCATTTTGTGCAAATGTGTACTCAGACCCGCTTCAGTCGTGACTGGGCGGACCTTCCCAATATTCAATGCTCTCTAGTCATGGCATACCTTCGTCTAAACAAACCCAAGGAATGTCGCGAGCAACTACAACGCGTCATGTCCCGCTACCCGTGGGTGTTTAGCAGACTGGCCCAGGAACTTGACCTCAAACACGTCCCAAAGGCAATTTGGGGCAAGATGCCTCCTACAGGGTCCCACGAACTGCTGACGGAGCTCTATATTGCGCGTGCTAAAGATCTGTGGAACACTCCCGAGGTGGTTGCGCTCATCATGGAAGTTGCCGACTCCATCACCGGCGAAGTTGAGCCCATTGAGCCCCCAGAAATTACATTAGCAATTGCTCGCCATGTGGTCGTGTCTGATATTCCTAAGGTGACGACCTATCTTCCAAACCACTTTGTGGCCGGCCGGCTGTCATCCTCCGATCCCCTTCCCCCGCTTGGGTCTGACGCCTACGAGCGACAATCCGAGCCTCAGCCTATGTATGCGGCTCCGGCTGGTGCTGGCGGCGAGAACTGGCTGCAGGATCTTCTCGGTCAGCTCAACAATCGCAACCCCGGGGCTGGTGATATTGATGACGAGGGCCCGTTTATCCGAGGTTTCGGCGATGAAGATGACAATGAGAATGAGAACGAGAACCAAGGTACCAATGCGGCTGAGGACAATTACGATATTCCAACATCGCGTCCTCCCCTTGGGGATCGGGCAGCCCTTGAAGGGTGGCTATCCCGGGAAGGCCTGCAGATCCTTCGAATTTTCCTGTCACAGTACGGCGTTGACCGGGGTAACTGGGGTGAAGTTGTGGTTAACTACGCCCCTTTGACTAATTATCTCCAAGCGTTGGATGGGATCACAGAAGCTTCCCGACGACGGCTGTTGGAAGGCACCATCAAGGATTCTCTGGGTGATTTTGCAGTGAGCATGTTGGAGGATGAATACGCCAACATGCGAGAGTAACATGGTGTCTGCCCAGATTGTTCGGAATTTCAAGGTCAGCGGACTCACTCTCGAGCTGTATAGTATCTCAGATCGAACCTTGAAGGCATGTACTGTAATTGACAGATATCAAAAGTGGTATCTAGATGTTAGTTGATACCAATCAAAGCCTAAAGTTACCTAGGTAAACAAAGCGTGATTATCTACTTAAGTAGGTGGCAACCTTGGAAAAAGCATGTGGTTGAATTATGCTTAAGCGGGGCTGCGAATGTATATCTCTGCCATTTGTTCCGCCTTGACTAGATGTTCCTTAAGTACAACCCTGGAATCTACTCAGGTTAGGCCTGCTATCTACAGTCACATCGTACCTCGCCTAAGTACATGCAGGTTGATCGTAGAATTTAAAGTACATCTATAGATATGCACCAGCTAAGGTCCGAGGTCGCACCCAGGTACTACGAGACGATAATCCAGAGTGTCTCATTGGTCAATGCTGTCTACATATGTCATTCCAGACATCTAAACATTTCACCTCGGATGTAAGTATCAAACGACAGTCTGTGGAACAATTATTGACAGATGCTACTATAAAGTATTTAAATCGACTATGAGTAAATCACGTACTCTGTATAAAATGAAAATTTGCGGTGGCTCGGACCCTGAGTGGGACATGGGGGTGACCCGAGTAGATTGTGTCATAGGCTTATCTCCCGCGAATTTTCTTTCTCCTTCCTACACACAACGCCATGGCACACGAGACTATACCTTTGACTGCTCGGGAGGCTGCCTCTGGTCTCCTAGGCTCAGTCTCCATGACCTGCTGGATTTTCCTTCTGGTACGTCATCTCCGCAATCCCAAAGGCAACCTCTAATCGCCAACTCAGGTCCCCCAACTGATTGAGAATTACCGCAATGGAAACGCCGAAGCTATCTCCCTTCTTTTCGTCTTCGTTTGGTTTGTCGGTGACATCGCAAACCTAGCCGGCGGCCTTATGGCCGGGCTCGTCCCCGTCATTGTCGCGATTGCCGTATACTTCTGCATCGCAGATGGCGTGTTGATCGCGCAATGCCTATACTACAAAGCTCGTACGCGCGAGCCTGCCCACCGTCGACGCTCGTCCACAGAGACCCCTGATCCGACGACTCCGCTGCTGGGTCGGCGCTTCAGTGATTCCTTGCCTGGGTCGCGACGCCGGTCGTCGGGCTCGCAGCGTGGGTACCAGGGTCGGCGCGAGAGCCAGGTCGAGGACACCCTTGCTAAGATCGTCGAGGAGAATGACTTTGGTCGTAAGGCCTGGTTCAAGAACTTTGCTAGCGTCATTGGTATCTTCGTAGTTGGAATGGCCGGCTGGACGATGGCTTGGCAGACTGGGATGTGGGAGCCAGCGCCAATTGAGAACAACAGCCCCTCCGACGAGGCTACCGGAGGCTTAGTGCTGGGTTATTTCAGTGCATTATGTTATCTGGGGTAAGTCTTGCCATGCTCAAATTGAAGAGTTGATTATTAACCATTTCGCAGAGCGAGATTGCCTCAGATCTATAAGAACTACAGCGAGAAGTCCTGTGAAGGTATGTTGAAAAATTTCGATGTATGTTGGCTGTGATATTAACAATCATGTAGGACTGTCGCTTCTGTTTTTCATCCTTTCTCTCCTGGGAAATTTGACCTATGGCGCAGGCGTAAGTGACACTAGGTCTGTCTTCCATGAGAAATTTACTAATTTTCCCAATACAGATTCTTTGCCACTCCACAGATAAGGAGTACTTCCTCACCAACCTCCCATGGTTGATTGGCTCCCTAGGAACTATGTTCGAAGATGTGATCATCTTCATTCAATTCCGGATCTATGCCGCCCAAGAGCCTCAACCGTCAGCAGTCCTCTAACTTACTCCTTTTTATACTCAGGATACTTTGCTTTGGGCAAACCTGCTTGCCCAAAAATCAAAAACCAGATTGATGCGCAGCTACTTGGATGGCGATGTTGTGTCCAAGTGACCACATTGGAAGAGTGATGCTGGGTATCGAAAGGATCTGGAAATAGCATAGCGTTGTTTTATAGTGAAATGGCAATGAAACACTTGAGATCCATACTGATTGACTCTCTCCCTCAACGTCGCGCCCGGGCCCATACCCGTGGACCAAGATCTGCGATTTGTATCCCCCATGACGTACCCTTGAATCTATTAAAAAACCTGGAGATGGAACTTGAATCTTCGGCTGGGCGACAAAGTGCATCTAGAGTGACCATCTTATGTCTAGCGATAGTAAAAGTAGCTGCCCATGAATATACAGTGCATAGATGGCGAGGCATCAGTGAGAGGCACAGCGATCAGTGGTCTTCATGGGATGTCGAGATCTAAAAGAGCTCGATGACACCGACTTCTAATCACTACGTGCTACATCCAGGGCAATGTAAGAATCAAGACGGCATTCGTTTGTTCATGATCGCATGACAGACATAACAAAGGAACCAAGCAGCTGGATCAACGTCAGGGGTGACACAAGCAGTGTACATCTACTCGCCAGCACAAAGTCGAACTTTGGCCATGGAAACCAAGAAGTTGTCAAGAAGTGTGCCAAACGTCATTCTTCAATTCCCCTAATCCTGGAAGCAACAATATTTTCGGAATCGTAGCGGCATCCGATGAAGTATACCTCGACAGTGACGAGACACACCGAGCACCCAGTGTCCATTGAATGTCCGTGTCCGTTTGAATTCTTTTGCTAATTTTCTTTTTTTCTTCCCCGGTTTCTAGGTCGTAGCGGGGGTCGTGGAGTATCGAGTACAATAGAGAATCGTCGAGGGAGCCGCATTGCGGCAGCGGGAAAAAAGGTGTGGGATAGAGAAAAAAGGAAACGAGTTCAAATTCGATACGGAGTTTTTAAGACGCTTAGTCGAAGAGACCGAAGCCCATGTCCTCATCGGACTCCTCCTTCTCTGTAGTGGGGTTAGAACTGAACCATGCCTCAACGTGGGTTGCCAAATCTTACCCTCGACCTTCTCCTCCTTCTTCTCCTCAGCGGGAGCGGCAGCACCACCAGCGGCGGGGGCAGCGGCGGCGGGGCCAGCGGAGCCGACGTTGGTCAGGAGCTCCTTGATGTCCTTACCCTCGAGGGCCTGTAAATGGTGTAAGTGATCGAAGTCTCAAATTGTTGCGCGCGGGTCTGTTGTCGGAGTTGGCGCAGTTGGAAAAGGCTCAGATATTTACCTTGGCGAAGATGGAGGCCCAGATGGGCTCAACTTCCTGGACCTTGGCGGCACCGAGGATGGTCTGGATCTTGTCGGCCTGAATGAAGATTCAAGGTCAGTCACAAATTTCGCGCAGCGGTTGTTGAATCCAGTGGGTTCGCAATTGCTTGTTGTGTTCCTCCCAAAGCCCATTTCCGAGCAAGTAATGAAGCTTCAGGTGCGATCTTCAAGCCTCCACGAATCCACCAATTTCAAAAGAATTTGGGATACGTACGGAGACCTCAATACCGTCATCGGCCAGGATGAGGGCGGCGTAAGAGCAGGCGAGCTCGGCGGTAGACATGTCGACGGGTGGACTGGGTGTCTTGAAGTGAGTTGGGGATGGGAAAGAAGAAGAGATGAGGCCAATGATAGTCTACCCGAACAGGAACCGCGCTGTGTGGGAATTTAGCCCTCGCTTAGGGCTTGGACTAATCTGGACTAGCACCAGACCCGCCACCAATATCACATGATCTGGCACTAAGCCCCAAACGGATCGAGAATCAAGTGACATAATCCTGCACGGTCCACTCTCCGATACTGGCAGTATCTCCCTATCAATCCAGTAATTGACATCACATCTCGGTGGGGTACAAGGCCATCATTTTGACTTGTGACAACATCCAAAACCACATTTTAGGCTGCGACTATCTCGAGTATCACATTCGACTTCCATACCACTCCCATACTCGACCTTCAACCATGGAGTCCCCCGCAATCCCGGTCCCGCTGGATCCGCGGGAGCAGCCCATCCTCGAACGACTGCTCCGAACTCGCGACGCACTTTTGCTCATTAAACAGGACAAGTCGTCATACATCAAATCTCGCGATGTTCTTCCGCACTACGAGGAAGTGATTGCAGAAGTTGAGAAGCTCAATTCTGCCCGCAAAGAGCAGGATCGCCGCTTGATACATAATCGCCGTGAGTCTCTAGTAGATTGCGCGGCCACCTTAGGAGTTGACTGACACTCTGTCATAGTGGATTACGTTTTAGATGACTGTTTTCAGTTGATCTCTCTATTGTTCTTGACAGTGGGGAGGAACAATGAAGCTCCTGCAGTGTAAGATCATCATACTTGGCCCCCTCGATCTCATGATCATGTCTGACATCCTGTTAGTTATTCCTTGGCAACCACAATCCAGGTACGTAAATAAATCAATATTCTCCGTGGAGTTAGTATTATGCGCCAGGCACTAACATGTTTCTATAGCGCTTGCTCGACCATCTCGAAGAGGCCGGATTTTACAGCTCCAAAGATTTGAACTCGATCACCAAGACCTTGGAGTCTACTCGTGAAACTCTCGAGCGCGGACGCGACACATACTCGCCGGCTCTTCTCACACTTTTGGAAAGCCGTCTTGAACAATGCGAAATTTCTTTGAAGAAGTTGCAGAAGGGCCTCGCCGCACTCGCCCCTCCTTTGGCGCAAACACACGAGACGCTAGTCTCGATTCTGAGATCAACATCTGCGGTTAATACTCGCTCAAAGGTAAGAGTTGTCAATAGTATACTTTGAAAGGGCCGATGATGAACTGACACTTGGCTCTTAGTTCTCAGCATCGGAAGTCAATGGTCTTCGGGAACAACTGAAGAAGATTGAGAAGACTACAAAGGACGGTAACTTTGTCGACACCGAAGGAAACATCCTCACAGGGCAGGATGAGGTTAAGTCTTTGATCCATCGTTGCTGGCGATGGACCGAAATTGTGCTTGAGCGGTATGTTCCAAATCCTGTTTCTAGTCGAAAAATTGCTGACAATTTCACAGAGAGGGCAAAATCGACGAACGGTTCCGAGATCAATATGAGCGATTGCTGGAAATCCGCAACCAATTAGATCGCTTGTCTGTAACCCAAGCTTGGTCTCTGCGAGAGACAGATCTCTTTGGATTCCAGCGCAAGCTCGATCGAATTGACGAGGCACGTTCTAATGGAAACTTTGTCGATGCAGACGGTCAACCTGCCGACCTTCATGCACAGCGAGTAAGATTCTCCACCAAAAAGTCGATAGAACCATACTAATAACCACTCAGACACTGCTTTACCTCATCCGTCGCAGTTATGCATACATTTATGCGCTATTGATTTCATCCGAGCCCGTGTCCGAAGCTCTTCTCCCTGTTTATAATCAGCTCCAAACTCTGCGTCGCTGCTTGATTGAAGTCAAAGAGTCTGGAGGAGTCTCAAACTCGCGTGAACTCTACCCTTACAGCATGAAGGTATGTTCACATGTGAACCCCACACTTAACATCTTTGACAAGGCTAACAAATGAACCAGCTTAATTCAATTGATAACATGCGAGTTGATGGGAAGTTCTATGTCGGGCCCGATATTCCCGAGGGTCAGGGCAGTGTGAATAACCTGCTCGCCGAGTGCTATGATTTTGTCTGGGAGCTGCGCGCTGCAGTGGTTGATGAGGAAGAACAGTCTTAGGACAATCAACTCTGTACGCTTGTCTCCTTACATCTGCGTTTCATTTCGTTCTTGGGGTCTGGCCGAGGATTCTCCCGGACATATATTACCTAGGTAGTCTTTGACTGTATGGTTGGGTTGTCTCTTTCTTACTTTGTTACGATAGGCGTTTGAGATGGGGCACTTTTTTTTTTGGTCTGTGCCTGGCATCTTGAGGATGAGAGCATATGCTCTCTGGTGGTTTATTTGAGTTCAATTGACTGTCTGTAAAAGAGTAGCAAATCTGTTATTATGGTGTTTCCAATGGCCAATATCAATGTTGGGGAGTATAGATCGAACCCGTGCAGGTTGATTGCCGGTCTGGATTCCGAAATCGGCGGTACGAGCGGCCAATCAGAGCGGAGGCAAATAACCAAAATAACCCGGATACGAAAAAAAGGGAACATCATCTCCTTCTTCCCCAGTTTCCAATTCCCCCAATTGTGAAGATGGTGAGCCAGCTTGTTTGGAAGCGGGCTTCTGCCTCTCGTGGGGTGAGTGAAACCATTGGCTCCAATTGAAAAAAACTGTGACTAACATCATCTAGCTGGCACGGCTGTCCCCGCAACGGCTCTTCGCCCGTGGCCTGGCCACCGAAGCCTCCTCCTCCCGCATGCCCCCTTACCCCAAGCTTGTCCGCAACCTTGAACAGGTCCGCCGAGTTCTGGGATCCGATCGTGCCCTCACCCTCGCCGAGAAGATCCTCTATTCCCACTTGGACAATGCCGAGGAGTCATTGCTCACCGGTACCAACAATGGCCGTGATGTTCGAGGCAAGGCCAACTTGAAGCTCAAGCCCGATCGCGTCGCCATGCAGGATGCCTCAGCTCAGATGGCTCTGCTTCAATTCATGTCCTGTGGTCTCCCCTCGACTGCTGTTCCGGCCAGCATCCATTGCGACCACATGATTGTCGGTGAGCGCGGTGCCGATACTGATTTGCCCTCTTCAATCAAGGGTAACAGCGAGGTGTTTGACTTTTTGGAGAGTGCCGCTAAGCGCTATGGTATTGAATTCTGGCCCCCCGGCGCCGGTATCATCCACCAGAGCGTCCTGGAGAACTACGCCGCCCCTGGACTGATGATGCTCGGCACTGACAGCCACACTCCCAACGGAGGTGGTCTGGGTGCCATTGCCATTGGTGTCGGTGGTGCCGACGCGGTTGATGCTCTGGTTGACGCGCCTTGGGAACTCAAGGCCCCTAAGATTCTTGGTGTGCGCCTTGAGGGTCAACTTAGTGGATGGGCTTCTCCCAAGGACATTATCATGTCCCTGGCTGGTAAACTGACTGTCCGTGGTGGAACCGGCTACGTTATTGAGTACCATGGTCCTGGCGTTGAGACTCTCAGCTGCACTGGTATGGCTACCTGCTGTAACATGGGCGCTGAGGTCGGTGCTACCACCTCGCTGTTCCCCTTCTCGCCTAGTATGATCCCCTACTTGCAGTCTACCCACCGTGGCCACGTTGCCGAGGCTGCTGCCAAGGTTGCTGCCGCAGGCCCCTCTAGCTTGCTGCGCGCCGATACCAAGGCCGAGTACGACCAGGTCATCACTATCAACCTCTCCGAACTTGAGCCTCACATTAACGGTCCCTTTACACCTGATCTGTCCGTTCCACTCTCCAAGTTTGCGGAGACTGTCCGCGAGAAGAAGTGGCCTGAAACATTCGGTGCTGGTTTGATTGGTAGCTGCACCAACTCTTCCTACGAGGATATGACCCGCGCAGAGAACCTGGTCAAGCAGGCTACCGCGGCCGGCTTGAAGCCCAAGGCGGACTTCTTCATTACCCCCGGTAGTGAGCAGATTCGTGCCACTCTCGACCGCGATCAGACCCTGAACACCTTCTCCGAAGCCGGTGGCATTGTCCTTGCTAATGCTTGCGGCCCCTGTATCGGTCAGTGGAAGCGAACAGACGGTGTGCCCAAGGGCGAAGACAACGCCATCTTCACCTCATACAACCGTAACTTCCCCGGTCGTAACGATGGTAACCGCCAAACCATGAACTTCCTCGCCTCACCCGAGCTTGTCACTGCGCTCGCCTACTCTGGTAGCACAACTTTCAACCCGATGACTGACTCCCTCACCGCACCGGATGGTTCAACCTTCAAGTTCGAGGCCCCTAGCGGCTTCGACCTTCCCAGCGCCGGGTTTGAGGAAGGAAACCCCAACTTCCTCCCCACAGCCGCCGTCCCCGACGCGAGCTCCGAGGTCATCGTCTCTCCCACCTCAGACCGACTTGCCCTCCTTGAGCCCTTTGCCCCCTTCCCCAAGGGTGATCTCTCCGGCCTTCAGGTCCTTTACAAGGTCAAGGGCCAATGTACAACCGATACTATCTCCGCCGCTGGCCCCTGGCTCAAGTACAAGGGTCATCTGCCCAACATCTCCGCCAACACTCTCATCGGTGCCGTCAACGCTGCTACCGGTGAGACTAATGTCGCCTATGACGAGGCTGGCAAGCAATACGGTATCCCTGAGCTTGCAGAGCACTGGAAGGAGCGTGGAATTGAATGGCTCGTCGTCGCAGAGGACAACTACGGTGAAGGCTCTGCCCGTGAGCACGCTGCTCTGCAACCCCGTTACCTCGGCGGCCGTGTCATCGTTTCTAAGAGTTTCGCCCGTATCCACGAGACGAACCTGAAGAAGCAGGGTGTTGTTCCTCTCACCTTCGCCAACCGTGAGGACTACGACCGCATCGATGCTTGCGATAAGGTCGACACCGTTGGTCTGTACGATACTTTGCAGGCTGGTGGACAGGGAGAGATCCAGATCCGTGTTACCAAGCAGAAGACTGGTGAATCTTTCCTCGTCCCTGTTCAACACACCCTGAGCAAGGACCAGAGTGCTTTCATTCTTGCTGGTAGTGCGCTCAACTTGCTTGCCAAGAAGGCTAGTGCGCAGTAAGACTAAGACCGTTACACTATAAAAGTGGTTTGGAGTCGGGGTTGCGTGCTGATTGCAATGGCTTTTGGCCTTGTATATGACACTTTTAGATTTTTTTGTTTGCCAACTAGATGATATCCAATGTGATCTGTATTCTATGATTTCTTGCTCTCCATTTTCTACATACTCACCTTTTTTTTTTCTCTAGCGAATTGTTCTTTTGAACAATCCTAACATCTTTCCAATGATATTTCTTGACATTTTTGTATGATAGAAACAACACCCAGATATCCTTGAGGTCAAAGTTGGGGTAAAGCCCGCTGAGGATTCTGCGGAGCCGCATGGGCCCCACCCCCATCCCTGTATACCCAGCAGCATTGCCAATTAGGTGTCTATCACGCTAATAACCAGTGCCTTACAGAAGCTAGGCAAGAAGGATACAACCATTTTCAGAGTGAACCGTTAAGGTAAGATGCACAATAGGGACCAAAAGGGGTCCGGCTATGCGCCAGCACAGAATGTGGGGACAATCAAATCAGGGCTCTTGGCCTAGAAGGGATTGAGGGCACGGATGGAAGACCTTTCTCCTTAGACCTCACAAGGTCCTTGGCGACGCCCGGCAATGCAAGATTGGGCCCCAGGGCTGGATGTTGTTCCAACATAGGTAATCTCGAAATTCTTCGATTGTCGACTGTGGTATATAGAATTGAAGCGTGACACAGACAAAACTCATGCAAATGAAATAGCGGGGTATGAATGGGGGGAATATCATCAAAAAAATATCGTGACGGAGCGTTTTTCACGAAGCGGAATGGGACAAAAGACCTGACCAAACCAGGAGAACGCCCCATATTCTCGGCGTTCACTCGAAATATACCAAAAAAAACCATCGCATCTTGATCATTGACCAAACCAACAGACATGATCCTATATTTGAACGCCGAAAGCCTCTCTATACAAAAAGAGATGGGTGCAGATGTCCATCGTGCATCCTTTTGAGCCAAAAAAAAGAAAAGGATAGGAAAGAGAAGAGAAGAAGAAAAAGATGAATAGGAACCAAAAGGTGAGAAAAAATCAAAAGACTGTCATCCAGTCCATTTTTGATTCGAATATCCCGGGTCTCCAGGGTTGATCATCATCTGCGAATTATTCGCATAGAGATTTCCCTGGTTATACGCGAGACCCGAATCATCTTCATCAAACCCAAACTCCCCGCCTGAACTAGCATCAAAACTGCTCCTCCCGCCAATCTCCTCATCAGCGGCGGGAATCTGATCCCACTGCAAAGTCTGGAGCGCAGGATACTGCGCCAAAAGCGCAGCAGGTAAAACAAAGTTACCAGAGGACTGCCCATCCATACCAGGCATATTGGGCATAACTAGCGGCTGGGGAATCGGTTGGAGATGACCAGCCTGCTGCGGTTGATGCTCGAGGACGCGTTCACGTTCAGCAGACTCCTCGTCGAGCAATGGCTTAATGCAGACTCGGCCAGCTTCAGATCGGAAATGGCGACCAAGAGCATCTGCGCGGGCGAATCGACGACCGCAGCCCCATTGGCCGCTGCGAGAGAGCTCACCTCGGCAAACGAACTTCTTTTCGCCGGAATGCAAGCCTTCATGTCGTTTTCGGTCGTGTTGTCGCGCAAATGCTTTACCGCAGACTGTGCAGACGAAGGGTCTTTCGTCCGTGTGTGTGCGTAGGTGGGACCGCAAGTTGTAAGCACGGGTGAAGCGTTTGGGACATAAATTGCATTGGAAGGTGGCGGGGTGTTTCTGGATACGTTTCGGTTCACCAGGTGCTGCGCCCGGGCGCTGAGGGTCGGCCAAATCGAGGATGTAGTTTCGGTTTTCGATCGATGAGGTTGAAAGCCGGCGATTGGACCGGGAAGGTGACGCGTCGCGGGAGCCGGGGTTACTGCGCGAGTGCGAGCCAATTGATCCAACTGGTGACAGGGAACGCGGGGTGGTAGGCGCATGAGGTTCCAGACTTGTTGCTGATGCCGCTGGAGAGCGTGGTCGGGAAGCGGGGTGATAGGGGTCGGATTTACTCCGTACTCGAGATCCTGATTTATCATTAGTTGGGGCAATCAGTCGGGAATACCATCAGAACTTACTCATGGCGGGAGGGCTCAATGAATCGTAATCTGCCGTTGGTTTCGATGAATCAAAGTTTTGATTTCGCAGTGGCGGGGCGAACTCGACGTTGATTGACGGAGGAGCCATTTGAGAAGCCTGCCCGATGTCGCCCGGTGCATTGTTCAGCTGGCCCATATTCATCATATCATCCTGAGACATCCCGTACATATCTGTTGGTGCCGCGGGGAACGGAGAAAGATACGAAGCATTGGGAATCATTTCACCCCCCTGTTGTGGCATCAAACGCGGGGAAATATAGGGAGTTTGAAGTGGGCTAATGCCCTGTTGTTGTTGCTCTGACAAGGTGAACGATTCCATGCCGAGGCCATTTTCATACAGAGTCGGGTCGCTCTGGGGGGCCAAAGAAGGTGACGCGTTGTTCTCGATGCCATCGAATTCATGCTGAGACAAGTAAGGAGAGTGGTTGGCTGAAGAAACCTCAGATACCTCGGATGGGGCACGTCGATGCCCCTGGAAAGAAACATTGTTCATAACAGACTGCCAGTCCGGGTTCGGGTGAGGGTTATAATAGGCCGTCGATGGATCTAGCGAGGTATGCCGCGAATGCTGAGGGGTATAGTATGTGCCCGGCGTGGAACCCGGAGGAGACATAGGTCCAGGCGACGAGTGCTGCGGATCTTGTGACGGATGCGAGGAGCCAGAATTCGAGATCGGACTGACCAAGTCGGCCGGGTTGACCGCTTGGTTCATTGACTGACGCTGGTGCATTTGCGGGTCCAACAACTGCGATGTATCGTATTCGGAGGTGGACGCGCTAGGACTGTGGTTCTGGTAGAGAGAGAAGTCCAATTCCGGCTGATTGGAGTTGAGCATATTGGAGAAATTCTCTTCTTGCATTGGTCGCAGTTCGTTGGCAGAGTGCTCGAGCTGGTTGGCGAGGCTTGTCTCGAAGGACTGCGATATCGGAAGATTGTTGGTATTGATCGCGGGAGGGTAGTTTTGATCTGCCGGTGGGGATAGAGTCTGTGTCGGAGACAAAGCAGAGGAGTAGTTCGGATATCCATATGATTCGGCGCCAATACCCCCGTCCTGACTGTGGAAGGAGGGGGCCGTTGGATAAGCGCCCATGGAGGGGTCGATGCTCAATCCGGCATTTGGGTTATGATATTGTTGTGCGTGTGGCTGTGGACTCACACTACGGTTTCCAAGGTCGCTGGCGGGGTGGATAGAGCCCTGGTTTGGGTCATGCGAGGCCATGATTGCGGATGCGCGCAAATGAGGCTCTTAGGAGGCTCTTGAGGGGGGCACCAACGGGCTGCAATGAGTAGGAGATGAAGGAAGCAGGAACACGGTGTGACGCGAGGTTTCGGTGTACAAAACAGACTAGAGGAATGGACCTGTCAGGGACCTAGACACCCGGTGTAGAGAGAATGGCGTCTGATGATGTGGTGGGATGTCATTCGCAAGGGTCCAGGTTTCGGAGAGGGGGCGGAGATACGCGAATGAGCCTCTAGGCCAGTGTCAGCAGTCAGGCAGCGTCATACTACCAACGAGAGTATACCTTCAGTTTGACCAAAGGGTCATGTCACAACGCGAGATGATAAGGAGTCGAGGATTGGAATTCACGTGCGCAAGGCGGTCTGGGGTTGTATACTCGGCCAATGGAGTGTAGTACTTCGTACTTCGTACTTAAATAAGTCGGGAAATAGATGCTTTACGAGTAGAAAATAGTAGTAGAATTCCTTGTGGGTGCCCTAAGCGTAATCAACTGGTTTCCCGATCCACCTTTGACCAATATGTCCCTACTGATGCTAGTAAGCCCAAGATGGGTCTCCCCGCATCAGTGCCCACCTTGATTAACAGATGCTAGTATACGGGGGAGTATGGAGTATCCCTTTACTACCACCTCTATTTTTATACGATCTAGATGTCTTCTCCCGTTCCAAAAAGCCGTTGCCTACGAACAAGCACTTGGATTCCGACTGCCAAGTGGAGGTTGCAGAATGTATCTCAAGGTGGGTTTTTTGCACAGCCACGCAGCTGAAGAGCTAGTCTCGTTTGGGTATAAGCTTATATCCAAGGCAGACTGCTGTGCCTTGGCCCTAAACTCTGTTCCTTATATGAAGGTAATTACACTTGTACTTTGATCTTGGATACTATCTCGGCTGCCTTAAACACTGCCCAGTGCATTCAAACTAGACCGCGCCTGGTCATTCGACCAAGCAAACAGCAAATTGTCGTCACAGCTGCTTCCGAGCCCCGCATTGTCAACCCACGCAGGCTCCCAGTAATAAATACCAACACCGTTGGCTCCCGCGACAGCAGTCGACAGCCGCTGCAAGAAAGTCTGTTGTCCAGCCACGGAGAAGGGAATATCCGACAAATCAGATGGGAAAGAGTACTCTGGGCTGGGACATGAGAACGGCCAGTTCGTCTCCACCACCAGGGTTTTCTTGCCATATTTCGAATACAGGCTTGAGAGACTAGACTTCAGAGACGCCAACGTCGCACTGGCACTGTAGAAGGGATAATAAGAGACACCGATGAAGTCGAAGTCTGTGGAGACAAGTGCCGAGCCAGACGCGAGCACCTGGTCGTAGAAGTATGTTTGATCGCTGCTGCTCCAGCCATTGTCGAGATGGATCATGATCTTAGGTGTTGTTGCGAGGTTTGAGTCCTTAACACCCCATGCACCAGAGTGTAGGATGCTAGCAATGTTGGAGTAGCTGCTTGTCTTGCCGAGGGGCCAGAGGAGACCGTTACGGATTTCGTTGCCGATCGAGACCATCTCGACCTTGAGACCGTTCGATGCGAATTCGTTGCACACTCCCAAGGTGTAATTGTAAACTTGCCACGTGAGGGTATCGAGGTCGGTAGTGGACCATCCGGACGGGGTGGTCTGTTCAAATATATCAGCTCCCATACCTGAACTCAAATGTCAAGAGGGCAATTACCTGGGCACTTGGATCCGCCCATGTGTCACTTAAGTGCAGGTCCAGATAGGTAGTCATGCCTGCGGCCTGCACCCGCTTCGCAAGCTTGATGTTGTAGTCCAAATCATAGTCGCCGTTGCTGGGGTTGACCCAAATGCGCTGACGAACGGAGTTGATACCGGCATCAGCAATGATCGACTCTAGCTTTGCAGTTGAACCAGCAGAGTTCTTGTAAGAGACGCCTTTATTTTCCTCAACAATCAGAGATGAGATGTCTGCACCTCGGTAGGTGAGTGCTGCAGATGTGGCAGTGAAGAGCTGCGTAGCAGCTAGGAAAAGGTAGGGAAGCATGGCCGTTGCCAATTGAGATGGGATGCAGTGGACCAGTAGATCCGACACTCTTTATATTCTGAAAACCACATGATGGCGCCTTACACCGAAGCAGAAAGGGAGTGCTTTGCTTGATTTCACCCGTCCAAGGCCCATGAGGTGGAATAATTGTCCGGGAGGCATACCTGGAAAGGTCTAGTCTCCCGTGCCGAGACAGGAACTGAAACATGTCATTCATGCACGATGAGCTTCCATAACACCGGCATCAACTAGTTCCAAGGTTGGTGGATCAAATGACTGCCGAGACTCCTGGCGAGGTCCGGGGGTCTGGGCATTGCTATCAAGCGACATCACATTATACATGCAGACGTACAATTGCAACATCGTCAATTAGCATTGTGGAGCCCCGAGTATCTCGGGTACAGACTAGTAGAATCTCGATCAGCATCGAGCTTCTGTTATTGGTGGAAGGGTGAAGAGGATCTTCCGCGAGAAAAGCCATGAAGAGTAATATTGCGAAGGGGGAGGGGTTATACACATCCTGAAGTCCAACTCCACTGTGCATGCGATCTACCCGTAACACACTACTTAAAGTACGGAGTACTCCGTACCCAGGCACAGACCTCACGTCACATAGAGCATCGTGAATCCATTTAAGCCGGGTTCAAAATATTCAAATAGTTCATTTCGTTCATCGCTGACATCTCACGAATACAAACAGGTTGCATCCCACAATCCCCTGTTCAACATTACATACAATAGGTAAAAGTCAAATCCCGGCCGATGCATAAAGACCAAAACAACCTTGGAAGGGGAAAAAAAGAAAGAAATCTCGGCCTTGAAGATATAAGAGCAGAGATGCAAAGGTCACGCGGGAATATATGTACAGACCGTGTAGAATGTATATCAACGATTTCTAAGTTCCAGCAAGGCAGCCTGCAAAAATAAGAAGGAAGATAAAAAAAAAAAAAAAACAAGGGGATATGCAACAATTTCATATGAGAGGCGTCAAAGTGACTGATCGGGGCCGGCCACAGTTCAGTTCGAAGGTGAATCGGTCTTTGCGGGCTTGCGTTTCCCAATCATGAGGACTTCTTCCTCGGATGATTCATCTTCGTCTTCATCGTCGCAATAGTAGCGGGACTCGTCTTCTTCAGAGGGTCCGGGTGGTGAGCTTCGACCGCTAGGTTTGACGGTTTCGCCTGTGCGCAGGATGGATGGGATTTCTTCCATATCTTTATCTTTACAAGAGTAGCCGTCCCCGGAGAGGGAAGAGGCATTGGAAACAACGGAGGGAATGCTAGGGTGCGAGGCACTTTGCGACATGCCACTGGTGAAGTCGTCGGCGGAAGAGGAAGAAACGGTGGGCGGGGTGGAGGTCAGCCCATTAATCGTGTTTTCGGGGCATTGAGGGGCGGGTGGGTTGATAGGTGGTAGGAGGAGTGATTCGGTTGAGTACATCGCGTAGTCCACACGAAGGGTACTGCCCTCAATGGGATCAATGTCGCTCCGCCTGCGGCGGAGGAGTGCATCTCTCGTGAGATGGAAAGAGTCCGCAGAAGACTGGCCCTCAAGCTGGGAGGAGCGGTTGCGTCGGTGCGCATGGATTGGGGCTAAGCCCTCGACAGAAGGATGATCTTCGTCATGCCATAGACCGGTGGTTCGCACTTGTCCTTGTGCAGATGCGTTGCTAACAGCGATGCTTGGCTCGGCTGTGCTAGTTTCCGGGGTGCGCTCTTCGTCTCTCCGCAAAGATCCTGTTTCACCGGATGGTGATGTACGTCGGCTGCGGCTACCTCGTGATGACCGACGGGTGGCTCCACTGAAGAGACTTCCGAAGTTGGTTTGCCCAAGGGCTTCGATGATAGAGGAATGCACACCCGACCGAGGTCGGACAGTCGTTGGGATGTCGAAACTGGTTGGCTTGATCGTCTTTGTAGACTCAGTCGTGGACATTGAAGACTTGGCTCGCCGAGGAGGACCAGGCCGGGGTGTCACGGTCGGCGGGGGAGCGGCAGCAAACTTGGCAGCAACGGAGGGCTTTAAAGCGGTTGGTGGCGCCGCATCAAAGTAAGAATTCCAATCACCTTCGTCAACTGGGCTAGCAGTAACACTCTGGGCAAGTGGGTGTCCCTGATTACCGAATTTGAGCGGTCGGAAGAAATCCTCATCCCCTCTCAAACTGGATCGGCGACTATCGCGCGAAGTTTTCCCGAACGTACTACTGGTTGCGGTTGACGACAGGGTTTCAGTGGAGGGCGTCGTGCCCGTTGTGCGCTTGCGAGACTCCTTCTCTTTGGATTTACCACCGAACCACTTGGCGACGTTGGAACGAACACGCTGGATGAATGGAACCTTGCTAACAGCACTGGTAACTTCTTCATTCGAAACTTCGATCTTTTTGCCCTTGCTTTGGTAACCGGGGTCGGTTTCTTCAATCCAAATCCGAGGGTTGGGAAGACCGTGGAGAGTCCAAGGGTGGTGCTTGATCTCCTTCAAGGTAATTCGTTTGATGGGGTCCTTGGTCAACAGGCGCCTCAGCAGGTCGTATAGCTCATTGTCAATATCCTCATAAACAAGTTCATCACTACTTCTGAGATTCCATTGACTGGAATCACATGCATCGTCAACGACGGGAACCAGGCGCTTTCGTGGAATGAAGACCTCCTTCTTCACGATGGTCTGGAACATGCTGTACTCATCATCTGAAACAAATGGCAGACGGCCAAATACCATCCCGTACAATGTAACACCAAGCGACCAAACGTCGATCGCGCCGGTGATTTTGGGAATCGACCCAATGGTTTCCACAAAGTCGTCGCCAGTGTAACATAGCTCAGGGGCGTAGAATGCAGGTGTGCCGACAGTCTTTGATAACTCACGGGCGTCATCTAATTCTGTGGCGTCGGTCTCACCCACTTGTTCTTCTTCCTCATCGCGCATTGGTCGTCCTAGGTAAGATACACCGAAGTCGGAAATCTTCACCCGGTGATTACTGGTGACGAGGAGGTTGGCCGGCTTTATATCACGGTGGATGATACCTTGGTAATGAAGATATTCCAAACCAAGCACTGAGTCTCTGAATGCGCTGCGGGTTTCACTGATAGTCAAACATGGAACATATGCCATGTCATCACCCTCTGCAGACCACTCAGGTTCGGAAGGTGCATAGCCAAAGCTGCTGGAGGTGGTACTGAAGCGTCGTTCGAACGGATAATCGGAATAGGCACCATACATGGTGCCTTCGACGGCATTGAGAGCTGAATCATGAGCAGAAGACGGACTAAACTCATCTGTCACCGCAACAGAGCGGCTAGATGATCTCCTGATCGGGAGACCAGTCTCCTCGTCCTCATCTGAAGACTCTGCACCATGCTCTAAACTCCAGGCAGGGATTGGCCCTTGTTGGGCATCAGCAGCCTGTGCTTCGACCCGTTCCCGGGCCCTTTCCCTTTGGCGCCGCAGATGCTGAGCGGTTCGGATGAACTGGTGGCTCTCTTCCAAGAATGCGGGGGTATCTGGAATTCCGTTCTTCTCTCGTTCCAAACGTAATTTGTCGACATGGACGATTTCTCGGAGACCCTTTTTGCGCCAGACAATCTCGCCATTTTCCACGTATTCCAAAACAATGTACACCTTCTGTCGGTTCGGATCGTCGATAACTTCAAGCAAACTGACGACATTGGGATGTCGCGCCTTCTTCAGAATAGCGACCTCCTTCTTGACTTTGTCTTCAGGATTGCCCAATTTACCTAACCGACGCCGGGTGGAGTATCTTTGCACAATCTTGATGGCGACCTGTTGCCCAGTCGCAATATGTTGTCCCAGCTTCACTTTTCCGTGCTCGCCACGCCCAAGCTCCTCCAGAATTTCATACTGATTGATGGTTTTGTTTCCTGTGATGATGTCGCGATCCACCGCGGCGGTGTGCGTCTCTTTGGGCGGCTGTAAGTGGGAGGGGTGCAGGAGGGAGCTTCCCGTAGATACGTCATCGTCAGACCCCGATGGCGTTCCAAAGTGACGGGAATGTCTCATAGAGAACAACCCGGGACTCGAGAGCGGGGTGTTCCCTGCAGTCCTCACACCACGAGCGTACGCATACCGGGGCAGAGGGTCCGGTTCTGCAACATGAGGTGGTTGCCAGGTGGGGTGGACCTGTGACTGGAGGGAGGCGTAAGACTGATCGGGGTACACTGGGAGTTCATTTTCCGACTGTCTCGATGTTCTTCGGGGACTTCTGCCCACGCTTCCATTTTCCGATCGCGCATCGACCACGGTATCTTCGTTGAGGGCTTGTAAGGAGCTGGATGAGGAACGATTCGAGGGGGTCCGGGCACCATAGATGCTCGGGAACGCCTGGCGAAAGGTAGCCGCTGCTTCTGAGACATCGGTGATCGGTGGTGCTTGTCTAGTAGATGATTTCGATGGGCGGGATTCGGGATCGGTTGACGGTTGTGATGACTCCTCCGGCCGAGTGAAGTCCCGGTTGGAATTCTTCGAGACTCGGCGAGCCTGCTGATCTGGATCCTCCAGACCAGCTTGCGAGGACCGTATCTCCGTCATATTCCTCCTTTGTGTTCTTTTAGATTTTGGGGGTTCAAGATCAGAGGCTTGTGCCGGTGCAGTTGAGCATCCTAGTTGAACATGCTTCAATTGCCTAATTGATTCAAGGCAAGCTGACAAGAAGCTTTAGCACGCACGCATGGACCGGCATTACTTTCGCGGGGGTCTCAGGCGATGGCGACAATTCTCAATCACCGTGTACCGGACAGCGGGTTGGAAAGACCACGAGGTAGACCGGCTACCGCACGAGGATCTGGATCACAATTCTACACGTGGTCCAAGGAGAAACAACAGAAGGGAGTGCGGTGACAGATGCTATAAATATTTCGGCGTTAGGCTCGTTCGGATGGCCAGATTCTCGGGGAGGGGAGTTCGGAGCGAGATCGGAGGACGGGGAATGTCAAGTTTCCGGAAGGGGTATCCAAAGGAGAGACCAGTCTAAGATAGAAAAGAAGAAAGGAAATGAGAGGTCGAGGTAGAGACCGAGACCGACAGAGGAGGGGAGAGGAAGAGGAAGTTGGGGTGGGTGGATAATAGGGCAGAGCGAGGGTCGGACGCCAAGAACCTTTGGGACCAGGCAAATTTGTGTTTTAAAAAAAAGAATATCTTTCTCCCTTTTTTTTTTAATTCACTCTTTTTTTTTTTTTTTTTTTTCACAAGGGTGTTTTAGTAATTTATTATGGAGCATTTTCTTTTTTTTATTTTTTTTCAAAAGAGGAATATAAACTTCT